ATAATGTCAATAAGATCTCCAGTTCTTGCAGAAGAAATAACGTATAAAAAGAAAACGAACAAGAAATATCTTCTCAACGTTTGATTTGTATTGGGTAATAATTGAAAACGTTTCTTGTAATTTTTAGTTTGAAAACTGGTTATACTTTGAGTTTCCAGAGGCCTGATATATTCCAAAAGTTGATCAATCCATGCTATACTCGAAATAAAGTTACATATAGAATTTCATCAAAATCGGTTCAGCCGAACTTGAGACACACAGACTGACAACCGACAGACCGACAGTTTGACAAAAATAGTTTATTTACACTTACCAACTATGGAGAAATGCGTTCCCACCGAAAACTCGATGTGCAAAATTTGTTGCCATCACATAACCTATCTATTGTATACAGAATGCGGTAATGAAGTTGTGGGAAATACATTTATTTTTAAATTAGCTTGTGGTTTGCCACATTAAAACGCGTAAAATAGAAATAATCCAAAGCGGGTATATGAACAAAAAAAAACTGATGTGATCAGCACATAACCGACCGCATTGTGTATTGTCTAGTTAAGTGAATGTGTTACGGAATATTATAAAAATGTCTGTTAAATGCTTCTTTCCAATTTTTAGGACATCTTTCCAATTTTTAGTAAGCTTATAGTTAACATACCTAGAAAAATATAAATTTGACTCTTAGTAAAGTTTCGCTTTGTTCTACTGAATTCTCTGAAATGCTCGCCAGTTAGTTTCTGTAATAACCAGAGCTCAAATATCAAATTTCAAGAAATTCCATCAATTCGTTCCGTAGAAAAATCGGCCCGCAAATCAGTTTTCGAGCTCTGATCTTTCCAAAAAATTTTTATATGTTCATTGTTTTAATACGAGGAATTCAAATATTAAATTTCAATTAAATCGGTTGATTATTTCTCTTTATATACACAAAAATGTATATTTGGCACGAAGTTAACGTGCATCGGTTGAATATTTTCTCCAAAAGGTCAAAAATGTAAAACAGGCCCGCTAAAAAGTGCAGATCCCGAAGCCAAAAGTTGATCAATCCATGCCATGGTCGAAATAAACTTACATATGAAATTTCGTCAAAATCGGTTCAGCCGAACATTCCATTAAAACTTTCAGAACATATGTAGAGTGTAATTGGACACATCTTTGCAAAACTTGATATTGATATCTTTATTAGTTACCCAATTACAATAGCAGCCGTCGTTTGTGCAAAAGTAACAACTTGTGAAAGTTTGGTATCGATTGCATGATTCGTTTTTGAGTTATCGTGCGATCGTATGGACGGACATGTTTAAATCAACGCAGAATTTTACGTTGAGCAGGAATATATCTATGTCCATACCGCTGATGTGCAGGGTATAAAAAGAGAACGACAACCAATGTGTATACCAATATTTTCCTTTTGTTTAACAAATTTGAATGAATTTCAAAATTACATGATTATTTTATATTTCTATTACCATGTTTCGCTTTCGTTTTTGAAAAAACTGTTATTAATCACAGAATTAAATATAAATTGGTAATATCTTCTATTTATATTGAATTGAAAACATATTGTTTAATAATCAAATGAACATTATGAATTTTGTGTTGAATTGATGTAGTGTAAAACATCCAAACAATAAAAGTAAAATGAAATGGCGCATAATTTATTTCATACATTTATCTAAAAAATTTAAACCAATTAAACGGCACCACATTCTGAAATTTCAAAACCACAAGTCTATAAACACCAGTAAATGCATTTAGTTTAATAAAATCTAAAAAATATAATGAACAATATAAAAGCTTATACCTATGTATGTACATAACAAGTAAAAACGTTTCAGTCGGTATAAACCGATTGAATTATACCCTGCACTTTTCGTTATTGTGTAGCAATTACCTGTGAAATCATTCTATAGAAGCTTCACGGACATTTCAGACCTATAATTGGATATAATCGGACACACAACTGCGAAGTTTCATGAATCTGTCTTTATTATTTTTCAAATATTAAGAATAAGCTTTTAGACTTGTATGGGATCTACTCGAACCTGTTAAGCAATTCCACCAAAACTTCAGAAATATATGTGACCTATAACTCGACATACAACTGCCAAGTTTCATAATTCAGACTTTATTATTTTTCCAAATATGTAAAATAAGCTTTTGGAGTTGTATGGCAAGTACCCGAACCTGTCAACCAATTCCTCTAAAACTTCAGAAATATATTTGACCTATAATTGGACACATAACTGCCAAGTTTCATGAATCTGACTTTATTATTTTTCCAAATATTTAAAATTAGCTTCTGGAGTTGTATGGCAGGTACTCGAACTTGTCAAGCAATTCCTCTAAAACTTCAGAAATATATTTGACCTATAATTGGACACATAACTGTTAAGTTTCATGAATCTGACTTTATTATTTTGCCGAATATAAAAAATTTGCTGTTGGAGTGGTATGGCAGCCACCCGAACCGGTGCAGCTACCCCATTATAATTTTTAGAGCACGTGTAGAATATAATTGGACACATGTATACAAAATTTTATATTTATAGCTTTATTAGTTTTTGAAATATTTAAAATAAACTCTTTGAGTTGTATGGCAGCTACTCGAACCCGTTGGCCGAATTAGTCCAATCACAATAGGGTTCGTCCTTGGCACAAAAGAAAAAACTTGTGAAAGTTTGGTGTCGATTGCATTATTCGTTTTTGAGTTATCGTGCGATCGGACGGACGGACATGTCTAAATCGACGCAGAATTTCACGCTTCACGAACGGCAGGGTATAAAAAGCTTAGTTTTTAAGCCACAAATCTTAATTTAAATTTTAATTTTTCCTAAACTTTTAAATGCAAGTCGCAAATTTTTTTATACACTGTTTCATTTCTTAGACGTGATTTGCAATAAAAAGCCAAGTTTTATTCGTAAATTTAAAATTACGAACAAAATTTTGCTATGTTCAATCATTTAGGTATGTATGTATATAAGTAAATAAATTTTTACTTTTTTATACCCTGCTCTTCGTGAAGGGTATATTAACTTTGGTATGGAGTTTGTAACTACTTGAAGTCATCTGCGGTATGGACATATATATATATTCTTGCTCAGCGTAAAATTCTGCGTTGATTTAGACATGTCCGTCCGTCCGATCGCACGATAACTCAAAAACGAATAATGCAATCGACACCAAACTTTCACAAGTTTTTTCTTTTGGGCCGAGGACGAGCCCTATTGTTATTGGACTAATTCGGACAACGGGTTCGGGTAGCTGCCATACAACTCAAAGAGTTTATTTTAAATATTTCAAAAACTAATAAAGCTATAAATATAAAATTTTGTGTACATGTGTCCAATTATATTCTACACATGCTCTAAAAATTATAATGGGATAGCTGCACCGGTTCGGGTGGCTGCCATACAACTCCAACAGCAAATTTTTTATATTCGGCAAAATAATAAAGTCAGATTCATGAAACTTGGCAGTTATGTGTCCAATTATAGGTCAAATATATTTCTGAAGTTTTAGAGGAATTGCTTGACAGGTTCGGGTACCTGCCATACAACTCCAGAAGCTAATTTTAAATATTTTAAATATTTGGAAAAATAATAAAGTCAGATTCATGAGCTTTGGCAGTCGTGTGTCCAATTATAGATCAGACATATTTCTGAAGTTTTGATGGAATTGATTGACAGGTTCGGGTACTTGCCAAACAACTCCAAAAGCTTATTTTAAATATTTTAAATATTTGGAAAAATAATAAAGTCAGATTCATGAAACTTGGCAGTTGTGTGTCGAGTTATAGGTCATATATATTTCTGAAGTTTTGGTTGAATTGCTCTTCAGCTACGAGTAGCTCCCATACAAGTCCAAAAGTTTAAATATTTGGAAAAATAAAGTCAGATTCATGAAACTTAGCAGTTGTGTGTCCAGTTATAAATCAAACATATCCGTGAAATTTCTATAGAATGGTTTCACAGGTTTGAGTAATTGCTATACAACAACGAAAGGTGCAGGGTTTATACCGACTGTTCATATTCAATCGGTTTATACCGACTATAATTCAATCGGTTTATACCGGCTGAAACGTTTTTACTTGTTTTATATTCAAATAAGCTTTAAAAAAGTTCATTTATTTGATATTATTTTCTTAGAATCGTTTACGAGTATAGTTTAGTTTTATTTACGCCAACAAGTGAGTTTAAAACCAAAAAATCAAGTTTAAATAATTGAAATAAATCCGATCATAACTATTTAAAATATAGTTAATTAAATTACCTTGTTGTTGAATTTATAAAACAAAAATTTAAATCGAATACTTTAAAAAAAAGTTGGGTCCAATGGTTTGTATTGTCGCACTTTCCCTTCAACAAGTGAAAATACTACTTTTAAAATACAGTCTATGTGTTCGTATCTATATATTTTATATATGTTGCTCTTTTAGTTATACATATACTTAATTTCTCTAAATTGTAAGTCGCTCACAGGTGAGTACGGATTCTACAAAGCCTTTTAGATTTGCTCATGATTTACACTATGGAACTCAAAGTAACTATTTTTTATATTTTGTATTCCTATGAAGCACAACGTGTTAATTTTGTTTTACGGTTTTCAAACCATTTGAAATTAGTGCGATTCGCACTAAGGGCTTCTAGTCTAGTTATAAAAAAATTAACTATATGAGAACATATTACATTATATTATTTGAATAAGCTGTTTCAGATCAAAAGTATTTTCGCAAATAATCAGGCAATTTTATTTTTGTATTTCATTTATTTTAATTATGCATATAATTTAGGTAGAAAATTTAAAATAATTGGGACAGCAGAATGCAGTTAAAAGTGGCACCGAGAAAGGCAGAATAGGTGTGATCGTGTATGAAACAGATAAGAAAGAGTTGGTTAGAGAAAGCGATTGGATTCTTAAAACCAAAAGAAACTTAAAGAAGAGAAAATCCAATAATCACCAGAATTGGAACCGGCACTACAAATTAATAGCATCAGGTTGAAGAAATCTCCACCATAGAAGAATGTTCTACTTAAAAAACATAAACCTCCGCCGGTAATAGTAAATAATGTGACTAATTACATGCAGCTAATAAGGATCCTCAAAGAGGAAAGTATTAACGTGAAGGTAAATATGATGAATAACGATCAAGTAAAAAAAATGTTAAAAATGAAAATAAGTATAGACAATTGATTAAAGCTGTTTATGAGGTCACGTTGGAGTGGTATATTTAAGTATATTTATGAAAATAAATTGACGAGGCCAATTAAAGTAATGGCTAGAAAGCTGCGCCCATCATGTGTGCCACAGGATATTAAAAGTGAGTTGTCCAAAGGAGAGCAATAACTAGAACCTGTGACACCATTCTATAGAAACTTCACGGATATCTCTGACCTATATTTGGACACACGACTGCCAAGTTTCATGAATGCGATATAATTCTTTTTCCAATTATTTAAAATTTGCTTTTCGAGTTCTATGGTTACCCGAACCTTTCAAGCAATTCAGCAAAATTTTAGGAATATATCTGACCTATAATTTTACACACTATTGCTCAGTTTTTTAAACCTAGCTTCATTATTTTTTCGAATATATAAATTTAGCTTTTGGAATTGTATGGCAGCCACCCGAACCGGTGCAGCCATCCCATTAAAATTTTTGGAGCATATGTAGAATGTTATAAAATTTCATATTTATGTCTTTATTAGTTTTTGAAATATTTACAAAAAGTTTTTGTGATTACAAATAACAAAAGTCATTATACCCTTCACGAAGGTGCATGGTAAGAATTTGTTATTATCAAAAAATCAATCTATGTTTTTAGCACTTTTCCAAAAATTTTTTGAAAAAAAGTGCTTATTAGTTTCACTCTGTCCGTCCGTCAGTCCGTCCGTGGACACTTTTTTTGTTTACAAAACTGTTGCACCCTTGAAGATAGAAAGCTGAAATTTAATACGTACATAGATCTTTACTAGAAACTTATTTCCGTAAAACAAAATTTTTACCTATTTCCCCCCTCTTGAAGTTATACCCCCCCAAAACCCTAAAAAATGGCCTTCTTTAACTATTCGTTGCAATGCAACCATAAACATTTTTGAAATTTCGCAAACGCATAAAGGCAGTGGCTTGCTTCCCCTATCGCGGTATACTATAGTTAAACTTTAGAAAAACAAAATGGCCGTTCAAATTTACCGTTATATAAAGTCTTTTTTTTCCAAATTTTTGCTTTCGTTTTTCTTCTAAACCCCAGCCTTTTAGATATTAACAAATAGTTCATTTCGTTAAAAGAAAATTTTTTTCCATCTCCACCCCCTCTCAAGTTATCGCCTCTTGAAATTTTTAAAATTTGAATTTTTGGCGCTTCATATTTTCGAAACCGCAAGCTTTTTCAAATTTATATAAACGCAAAAAACTAACGGTCAATGACAATGGCAGAATTTTCACTTGTTGAAGAGAAAAGTGCTACAATACAAACCATTGGTTTGACCCAACTTTATTTTATTTGTGTTATTTTGATAAATATATACATACGAGTATAAATACAATAGTTTGAAATAGTTTTTATACCATAAAAACTTCCAAAATTTTAAAATTTTTTCTGTTTTTTAACTTATTTCAGCCATGCAATAGACATTCATTCTTAGCATTATATGTGCATATAGTTAAAGCTACATTACTATGTAAGAAGATATCAAATGTACGTATATGATTGACATGTATTATATGATTGACAATAATTACATACAATACATATATTTATTTATATGAACATAAACATAAAAATATACATAATATTATACTAAATGAACATAATATAGTCTATAACAACATTGCTCTTCCATTTTTGCTCTACAATATAACTCACAGAAGTAAATCATAACTCAAAACCCACAGAGGGTAAATTATTTTTGTTAGTGTTTTTACGTGTAATAATTTTTGTATAGTTCTATCAGAAAGTACAGTAAATAAGGTTTACTTTGAAAGTGCGAGTTGGGCATGAAATTGTGTATTGTAAGATTTGGAATTTTTTTTTATTTTACATAAATTCTTTACCTTTTATTATACCCGTATGAATGTTTGTTCGAAGGGTATACTAAATTTGCCTTACCGTTTGTAACGCTGAGAAGTAATGGTCTGTCCGCCCTTCCGTCTAGCTGTCCGTCGATAACTCAAAAACTAGTTGAGCTAAGTTTACCAAATTTTCACAAATGATTTATTATAGTAAATGCCAGAACCCTGTTTAAATTTGATATGATCGGGTTACTGGTTCGAGTAGCTGCCACACAAATTCAAAATTTATTTGGCTATATCTCAAAAACTATAAAAGATATGATATCGAAATTTCACACAAGCAAATATATCAGTGGGGCCTATGTGTTTGATAAAAGTCGTTGAAATTGCTTGGCTCCTTCTGGTAGCTGTCATACAACTTCACCATTAGTTTGGCCATATCTAAAAAAAATATTGAAAACACAGTACTGAAATTTTGATAAATTAATATATGATAATATTATGGCAACTTAAATTGATAGTCCGTTCCATAGTCAGGTAAGACATATTTATTCGCACATATGATAACAAATTCGTACGGGTATCACAGAGTTGGCATGGTTAACTCTGTTTATTCTCGTTTTTAAGATAAAATTAATAAAAATTTTATAATTTAAAACAAAACTTTAATTTATAATTTTTATGTACATAAGCTCTGTATGGCGATTTTAAAATTAAATTATTTTTCTTCTTCAAAGTTTTATCCTATTATCTTTATCACGATTGATAAATGGTGTTTTCATGGACTTCTTTTTCTATAGAAAATATTTATGTATTTCTTTCATAGAAAATAACATTATTATTCGTTTGATAAGAAATTATTCTTTTGTGTTTATTTGTCTTTTCATTTGAAATTAATGTACGTATTTCTCGAAGTAAAAGATATATAATCCACGGGACGGAGACGGATGATTTGAAAATTTAGGGTGAAAGAATGATAATTGCTTTATATTTCCAAACCTAACAAAGCAACATATAAAGACTTAAACCTAAATTTCTCAAATAATTTTATATTAAATACTTGGTTTATTTAACATATTATGTATATGTATAAAATGCTAAAAATTAATTTTCGTTTTTAGCACTTTTCCAAAAATTTTTTGAAAAAAAGTGCTTACTAGTTTCACTGTGTCCATCCGTCCGTCCGTCAGCCGTCTATGGACATTTTTTTTGTTTACAAAACTTCTACACCCTTGAAGATACAAACTGAAATTTAATACGTACATCGATCTTTACTAGAAACTTATTTCCATAGAACAGGATTTTTACCTGTCTGCCCCCCCTCTAGAAGTTATACCCCCCCAAAACCCTAACAATGGCCTTTTTTAACTATTTGTTGCAATGAAACCATAAGCATTTTTGAAATTTCGCAAACGCATAAGGGCAGCGGCTTGCTTCCCCTATCGCGGTATGCTATATTTAAATTTTAGAAAAACAAAATGGCCGTTCAAATTAACCGTTATCTAAAGTCCTTTTTTTTCAAATTTTTAATTTCGTTTTTTTTCTAGACCCCAGCTTGTAGAAGCTTGGAATTTTATTGGCTTTTAGACATTAATAAATAGTTTGTTTCGTTAGAAGAAAATTTTTTTCCATCTCTACCCACTCAAGTTATCGCCTCTTGAAATTTGTAAAATTTGAATTTTTGACACCTTATATTTCCGAAACCGCAAGCTTTTTCAAATTTCTATAAACGCAAAAAGCTAACGGTAAATTCCATGAATTAAAAAATATAATTATTTTTCTTAACTTTCACAATTAAACCTTAAAATCGAGCATTATGTTAACCCCACTTTATATTAATTTTTGCTTTATTTCAAAGACTGCATGTATGCATCATCCTAAATATATGCATTCCTAGAAATTAATGAAAATAATTTTAATAGTGTGATAGCTATACATAGACTGTATTTAAAAGCAGAATTTTCGCTTGTTGAAGGGAAAAGTGCTACAATACAAATCATTGGTTTGACCCAACTTTATTGAAAATTTATTTTTATTTTGATATGAAGCTCAAATTTTGTAAAAAAGGATGGAAACTAAAATATTAAGTTGAACCTTAGCAAAAATGTTGTGTGTTCTATTACCTGAGCATCTCCATTAGAATTTTAAATAAGACAATAAATTGAATACAATGCAATTCTTATACCCTGCACCTTCGTGATGGGTATATTCATTTTAGTATGGAGTTTGTAACTACTTGAAGGAGTCGTCTCCGGTATGGACATATATATATATTCTTGCTGAGCGTAAAATTCTGAGTTGATTTAGCCATGTCCGTCCGTCCGATTGCCCGATAACTCAAAAACTTATAACGCAATCGGCACCAAACTTTGCCACGGACAACGGGTTGTCGTAGCCGCCACACAACTCAAAGAAGTTTTTTTAAATATTTCAAAAACTAATGAAGGCATAAATATGAAATTTTGTGTTCAATTACATTCTACATATATTCTAATTTTGATGGAATGGCTGCACTGGTTCGGGTAACTGCCATATAACTCCAAAAGCTAATTTGAAATATTTGGAAGAATAATGAAGTCAGATTCATGAAACTTGACGGTCGTGTGTCTAGTTATAGGTCAAATATATCCGTGAAGTTTTAGTGGAATTGCTTGACAGCTTCGGGTAGGTGCCATACAACTCCAACAGCTAATTTTAAATATTCGGAAAAATAATGAAGCTAGATTCATGAAACTTTGCAGTCATGCATCGAATTGGTGGTTACATATATTCCTAAAGTTTTTTTGGAATAACTTGACAGATTCGAGGGGCTGCTATACAACTCCAAAACCTAATTTTAAATAATGTTGAATGAATTTTAAATATAAATAAATCTCAAAACCAAAAAATAACCTTAAAATACTGAAATAGGAAATAACAGTGCACTGTAATTGACTAAAATAACACCATTTCCGTAATGTTAATTTAATTGAAAAAATCAAGTTCTTTTACAAGTATATGAAGATCCTGCAGCTATTGTTCTTTTGAATTGCAACAAGTTGCATAGTGAAAGCTCGTCACATTTTAACTTTTTTATCTTGGAAAAAAATAGTTTGCAAAACAAAATATCTCTATTT